TAAACTACAACTACGTTTTGTTTACATATCTCAAATTTAAATTTTAAAAGTCCAAAAGACCAAGTATAAATCTCTCCATTATAATCTTCTTTAGTCACTCGTTTCTCCCAAAAAAATCCAAATTCAACTTTAGTCTTTACTCTAACTTCACTTCCTGTTTGTGTTTTTTTTTCGCCCCAATGAGAATGTGCAAAAATATAACCGATTCTTTGGTACCCATCTCTTCCTTTATATACACACTTGTATTTTTGCTTGGCCAGCTGGTATTCGAAGCCTGGTTCTTGATGAAATACATAAAAAAAAAGGTTCTCAGGGCAGTGTATAGTAAACTGTTTGAAGTCCTGGGCTGTTCGGTAAGTATGAAGACGGGGGATTTCACATTTGCAAGAAAAACAGACTGGAATTGGCACAAGCACCAACTTGAGGGAATTCAAACCCAGAACTATGAGGTACGACCTGGTTATGTTGGTGCTTATTTGCTTCGTGAGATAACAAAGATTCTTGTTGAATATGTTTTAGAGCATAAGTGAAAAAAAAGTGTTTGACGAAGACATTGTTATCAGTTATTGATCATCAGTTTAGTATAACCATATGAGATATCACAATCTTATATCATCTGAATCAGTCAAAATTGGCCCATATGATGGGTTTAATCCATTGATATCCATTCAAATTTTTGTTGGGTTTATTTGGGCAACTGATGATGTGATAACATAATTTTTTTTTTAATTTAAGTCAACTTTAATTTGCGTAATTTATATCAACTTTAATGTGACATTTAAATCGCAAATACTAAAATACAGAGATAATAAGTAATTCATAATTTCATTTCATAGTAATTTGGTTGTTAATATCTTTCAACATAGAAATTCAAGTTTATGCTATATAAGGATTACTTTATTATGATCTTACCAAATGATATTATACGTAACAATTTAGAATTTATTTAACTTGAAATTAAAAATTGCACATACAGATATAATTAATGCTAATAAAAATAGTAAAAATAATAATACTATAAAAAATTATGCATATATATATAATTAATGCTAATAAAAATATTATAAAAATATGATTTTGTCCTTTGTTTCCAAGACTATAAATAAATATTAGCTCAATAAAATAGATTTAATGTATCTATGTAATAATGTGTCCAAGTTCTTTTGCTGTTTTGAACAAAAGAATATTAACTATAACATTAATAAAGTTATGGTATTATAAATTGAATTTCATGGACTACTTTGTCCCATGATGGTAGAATAAGAGAGTAGTAGTAAATTTTGAAGCATAGATATAACCATTTGGATAGTTGGTACCACCTAATAATTATAATATATAAAAAAATGTTGTAAATAAAAGAACGAATATTTTTAATATTAATTTTATTATTTTAACTTACATAAATTAATTGCTGGTGCTGCTTCACTATTTCAATCTATAAGAATAATATGAGTAATATCTGAAAATGCTCCTTGTCTTGTGGTATTCTGTTTATTTTTAATATAATGTTAATCAAGAATAAATTGAAGCTCTTAAACAATATAATTATGATAATTACTTCAATCAAAAGAAATTCATCATGATAATTTTCTGGATTAGATGATGGTGAACTACCAAGAACAGTTACATTCACTACTGAAGTATCACTTGGAATAGCTGATCTAAGAAGAATGTCATTGTCTAAATTTGTTATGAAACGAAGGTATTATGATTAAATCTGAATGTCAATATTCTTAATTTTATCAAAATGGTATTCAAAGGATTAGAGATATGCAATGCAGGTTTTATTCTGTTCGAAATTATAATCTCGACCAGAATTTAATTCGAAATATTAAAAAAAAATCATTATTTTAATTATTACATGCCTCTGAAATCTACATAGACCACTGCTAAAAAGTGGTAGTTGGTGAGATCTTCTTTTTGGTTAAAATAAATATTACAAAATACATCTAAATCACAACCTCATAAGCAATAAATTTGTAATGTATCAAAATAAGTAGCAAAAATGTATATAGTATTTACTCTCTATCCATTGATCACTAGCAGTATCGTATATATAGTTGGCAAGTCCACCAGTATATAATACAAATTTAAAAACAATTCCATCTGGAAGGATGAAACTGCTTGAGATATTGACACCTTTTGGATATCTTAATTTACAGTACTATAGAATTTATAGTTAGTGTATTATAATGGATGTCAGATAGTATTAAAGATCATCAATAAATGGGATTTACCAGGATTTCTGATTGATGAATATGATTTTGTTGGGGCTACTTGGATGCAACTTATGCCAAGCAAAAAAACAATTAAGAACAAAAACAATTCTGATTTAACCATCCTGGTAAGCTTCTTAATCAAATATAAGTTCGTATATTAATTGTTGAAAAAATTTGTTATAATGAATAATATATTAATAAAAAATTGTGGATTAATGAAAGATAATACTACCTTTCAATAAGAAGGCAAATATTTTAAAAGTCCAAAAATTTCTTTAATAACATCGCAATTCTAATGTTTATATATCTTAACCCAAACCTGATTGAGAATGTTATGACATTGACATTTTATTTTAATTCCCAATCTGTATTATTCTTTATTAAAAACATTTTAACCTCAAGAACCAATTATCGGTACATAGAAATCTCTGTATTACAGTCACTCTAAATTAGATATCGTTATCCGAAAAACTCATATAATCATGAAAAAGTTTTTTTTGTTATTTTTTCATGTGTTATGATATAATTATGTTTATTTCAATATTAAAATTAAAAGCTTAGCGAGTGACTCTCCACCAATCATGATTATAAATTACACCATTATTGGGCAAATTGTCGAATACAGTAATTTGGCAAATGATTGGCTACATGTGCCGCTTTGCAATACTTGCTCATTTGCCAAATTATCGTTATTAGACAATTTTTACCCAATAATGTATACATGCTTCTCAACAATGATGAGGTATATTTATCAATTCACATTTATACTTTATATTAATTAAAGTATAATTTGATGAATATCATGTACTACTTTGTCCATGGTGGTAGAATAATAGAGTTGCAATAAATTTTAAAGAATAGATATAACAATTTGGACACCTAATAATTACACTATATAATAAAATGCTATAAATAGAAAAACGATATCTATCTTCATGAATTGCTAAAAAATATTGATAAAATGAATAATATTCATAGAAAAAAATATTAATAAAAATTTAGGTTAATGAAAGATAATATGTAGCACTTACTTATCATACCTTTCAACAGGAGTGCAAATATTTTACAGGTCAAAAATTTCTTTGACAACCTCAAAAATCTATAGTCTATATATCACAGCCAAACTCGTGGGAGACATATATCTTAATTTCCAATCCCTATGTCATTCTTTATTAAATATCCCAACATCAAGAACCAATAGCAATAATAGAAATTTTCGTATTATGGTTACTCTAAATTAAATATTATCACCTTGTTTTTGTATAGTGCAGTGTAAGAAATCCAAATTTGAAATTACCTTTTATAGAAACAAAGCATGCATATTGAAATTAAATATTTCTAATATTTATTGACTTTAATAAAATGTTTTTGTGCACACTTTCTTGATGATAATAATTTAGAAAATATTTGATTTATTTTTGTTTACTGTTCAGCATGAACATTATTTACTATAGAAAATACTGTTTATAAAGTTTAGTAATGACTTTATATATATGTATATCCTAAAATAGCAGTTTGGTATTATTCATGTAATACTACATTGATGAATAATTTTAGCATCGCAATTTCTTGATGATAATAGTTTGGAAAATATTTGATTTTATTTTTGTTTATACCATGTTTATTGTTCACCATGAACATTGTTTACTATAGAAAATACTGTTTAGAAAGTTTAGTAATAATTTTATGTATATACATATCCCTAAATAGCAGTTAGGTATTATTATTTATGTAATACTACATTGATAAATAATTTTAGCATCGCAATTATTACATGTGTGTGATTGTAGATTTGATGATTATTAATAAATTCAGTAATTCATATAGCTATTTCCACTTCAGCTACACAATTTTAGTAATTCAACAGTTCCACGTGTATAGAATTGATGATTTTTTTTACACTGTGTGTAAATTGTAGAATTATTATTTTACAATTTACATTTTTGACATCCTGTAAGTCCTTTAATTTTTTCTCTTATAAATTAATTTGAAATGATTTATATTAAGGTTTATACTTTATTAATTAAAATAAAAATTGATTATTTTACCAATTAATTAAATTTTTACCTTCGATCCATTGAGTGAGAAGCTTGAAAAAAACCTCTCTGAGATATTGAAAAGTATGGCAGGGTGTAAAAGTAATAGGAGGAAGTGATGTAATACCTGCAAAGATACTATTAAAGTATGAAATAGAGGTCAGAACTGGTTGTAAATTTAAGAACTGAATTGGTTGCACATGATCTAAAACCAGTTTTTTTTTTAAGCAAAACTGGATGGTGTTTAAACCTAATTATAACCGGGTTATGTAACTAAAAATCCTTGAAATTCAGATGTTATATTTTTTTTAATGAATCCATATATTTTTATATATATACAGTACATACTACGTACATATGAGGCAAAAGTATCACAGTTACAATATTTTTATGAAAAAAATAGATTTATATATATTTGTTTGTATAATATTTGATAAGCAAATAAGCATACATAATGCATTTTATTATGGTATTTATTAATACTAGCATAAGCAAAAAACATTTATTTATATATACTAATACGCAAAAATATCTAATAAGCATATTGCTATCCTATTGATATAAAAAAATTTTGATATACTTACTATTTCTCTTTAAGAATAGAACTTTATTTACCAGATCTGGTGCTAATCATGTTCTTTTTGATATGACAAGATTACCTGCATCAGAAAATAATCTTTCAGATAGAACTAAAGAAGCTGAATTGAAAGATATTTTCTAGCCAGCTATGCAAGAATTGTTAACCCAGTTTTATGCAATTGCCACCATTTTACTGGGTCTTCATTGAGGCTAATACTTTTTAAAGATAAGTAATGTGTTACTTTATCTAATTTAATTAAATCTAATGCTTGTTGAGGTATTGTTTTTAATTGACTAAAAAATTTATTATCATCATCATCGT